AAGGGTCAGGTAGCAATATTTTCAGCTTTGCAGGTCATACAGTGCCTGTGAGCTAGCACCCAATTGGAAGTTCACACCCAACTGGAAGTTCCAGGTAGCCCCAGTCTAGTTTATCCTATTGCTGCCCTGCTCTGACAGTCAGATTTTATACTGAGAGGGAGAAGAGTATAGTTAATAAGAGTACAGGGATCACACCTGACCTCTGCCACTCATTTGCTGTATGACCTTACAGTAAGTACTTAAGGTTTCTAAGCTTCAATTTTGTAAGATCCAAGATAAGGTTCATGCTAATACCTACTTAGTGCAATGGTTAGACTATATATCCAGCATGTGATAGCTGTTCTCGGTAATGGAGGATTTGGTGTCAGTTGTTTATATAATTTATGAGGATTATAATATTGTTAATTGGCTTTCATTGAAATACTTTGATATATATGAAAAAGTAAATTTTGAACTTTTGTTTGCCTGTTTTTGTTTGTTTGTTTTAAATATGATCTCATAACATGAATGTTTTCTACACATGAGTATAGTGTGTTTTACTATTTTGTTGCCCTAATTTTTCTTAAAAGTATGCTTCTTTTTTTAAACAATTGAGCATATGTGTTTAACAGTACAGATAGCACAAATGTGAGTGAAAACATAAGTTCCATGGATATTTTAGTATATGATCCACTGATTCTGTGTCCAGTTATAAATTATCTATTTAGTCCTCAGCCTCTGAGGTCTGGAGACATACTTCCTCTATAGCTGATGCCATTCTGCTTTTTATTAGGGACAGTGACAGACTTATTTTTTTTCCTTTTGATCATTTTGCAAAGCTTCAGTGGTTAACACACTTCAAGCCCTTCCTGGTTCAGATATATAGGTGCTCACTTCATTTGTTTCCCGTCTCCAGGGATCAAAACCTTGTGTTGCCAGTTTCTCAATGTGTGAAACCATTTTTTTCATAAGTTTAGTTGAGGAGATAGGAGAACAAATCTTATACCAGTTACCACCTCATGACAAAATACATTACTAAGATTTTTAAGTGTCTTATTTGGATACCAGAGTAATGCAAAATACTCAATTTACAAAAAAATGCCTCATTTTCCTTATTTGTATTATTCTACACGCCTCTAGCAGCTCTTTCACACCTAAAAAAAAAAAAAAAAACTAGATTTTTAAAACTTATTTCTAAAAGTAGTTTTAATAGAAAGAAAATGACTAGTTTCTTTGGGAGTTGAAAATTATCATGTAAAATCCTCTGGATCTTTTCTGAGCCATAGTTTGTCTTTAATATTCTCATAGTTTTTATTTTTACAAATGTATTAGACTTCGTAACTCAAAATTCTTCTTGTATAAATTTTGGTAATTTGTATTTCTTTAGAAGCAGTATCCATTTACATGGATTTAATTTGTTAGTTCACAAGACTTACTATTTTAATTTACTCTTCAATTATGTTTCTTCTGCTTTCTTAGTCATAATTACTTGACTTTTTGGTTTTTTTTCCTTTGCTGTTTCCTCTTCTCTATTAGACCATTTATTTACCTATTTTCTAATGGTCAAACCAATCCCCACCAAACATTTTTAAAAAAATGATATATTTTTTAAAATTTAAAGTTCTGGGATACGTGTGCAGGATGCACAGGTTTGTTGCATAAGCAAATATGTGCCATGGTGGTTTGCTGCACCTATCAGCCCACATGTGATGTAATTTTAAAATTAATTCTCCTGTCTTTTGGTTTTCCATTTTTTCCCAATTTTTTGTTTGTATATTTGTTAATTCATTCCTTCTGATGTTTTTCTCTAACTTTTTGGTTGACTGATTCTTTCTTTTTTTAATTTAGATATGATTTTAATTGAGGCACAATGAAGTGTACATATCTTAAATGTACAGTTCAGTGAATTTGTACAGTCTTAGTTCTTGGTGGCTAAATTCTGGCTTCAGTAATTTTGAGGCTTGGCTATAAGCCAAGCCCTTGTGCTCTATAATAGTGTTTCTCAATTTTTTTTTTTTTGAGACAGGGTCTCTCTCTGTCACCCAGGCTGGAGTGCAATGGCATGCTCTTGGCTCACTGCAGCCTCTGCCTCTTGGGTTTAAATGATTCTCATGCCTTAGCCTCCCGAGTAGCTGGGACTACAGGCGTGTACCACCATCCCTGGCTAAGTTTAGTATTTTTATTAGACAGGGAGTTTCACCATGTTGCCCAGGCTCGTCTTCAACTCCTGACCTCAAGTGACCTGCCCACCTCAGTCTCCCAAAGTGCTGGGATTACAGGCATGAACCACCACGTCCAGCCTCAAAATTTAATGTTCATAAAATCAACCAGGTGTCATTTAAAAATGTAGATTCTGATTCAGTAGGTCAGGGCCTGAGATTCTGCAATTCTGATAAGTTCCCAGGTAATACCAATGCTGCTGGTCTGTGGCCCCAAGTTTGAGTATCAAATTTTTATAAGATATTTCTATATCCTTTTAACTTTTTTTTTTTTAGCTTAATCCAGGTTGAGTTTCTTCTAGTTGCAAATAAATAGCTCTCAGTTAAGATACAATATACCTTCAGTCCTTGGTACAGGTAGCAGACCTGTATTTGTTTAATTAAATCTGTTGAATTAAATTAAGGCTTTGATATATTGTGTTTTGATTTTTATTATTGTTATTAATATTAACATTTTAAAATATTTTTGTTAATATTCTTCAGCATGTAGTGTTTCATTTTTCTCCTTAACCAATGTGTTTGGGGACAGATGTTTAGAAATTTTCAAGTAATTGAGGAAATTTGTGAATGTGTTGTTTTGTTTACTTCTAGATTTATTACCCAGGTTAGAAATTGTGGATATATTATTTCTGTGTTTTGGAATTTTTAAATATTTTTCTTCTTAAAAATTCTTTCTTTAGATGTGTTAATATATTCAGTGGATTATAGTCAGGACTTGGCAGGGTAGCAGTTTTGTCTCTTTAGGGTAAGTTTCCATATAGCTGATCAAATTCATTATACGCATCTTTTATATTTGAATTCTAGATGGAAACCTTATTTTCCCATTTTCAAACTATTTGTAGGGGAGATCTATCTGCTGCCTTACATACTACAGTTCTCTCATGTGTGTAATGAAAATAGTAATAGTACATGCCTATTATCAGGCATTGCTGTAAAATGTAAAATGCTCAGCACTGTGCTTGGACCAGAGCAAACCTTAAAAAATAGCTTCAGATGATATATTAATATATGTATTTCTGAATCTGCAGTTTTGCTCTTAGTAGCATTGTACTTTGATAGAGATAGAGTGGCTTGCAATTGCCCAAACATCATTCTGACCAAGAAAAACAGCAACAGATGAAGAACAAAAATAAAAGAAACAAAAACCTCCCAGAAACTAGATGGAGGACAAGAAATCCCATGGGGGCATATGTGTGATGTAATGACTCCGGCCATCCACACACACAAAAAGCCAAGTTAATTTTGTTTAAAACATATTTTACAGCATCCTCCAAGAGAATATACAGCATCCTCCTGTCGAGCAGTGTATCCAGAACTGAATCCTAATAATGAGAGATACAACTTTTTTACTTTTTTGAAATAGATATGTGGACTTAATCCTCCCCACCATTAAGCTGTGTAAATTCTCATAGCAGGAATTAGGCCTTTCATTTCTGGTCCCCAGTGCTCTTTACAGGTGCCTTGACAAACAGCTATCAAGCACCATCTGAATTGTATGGGGACTAAGAGCCCCAGTTTCAGAGTCCAGCAGCCCTCAGCCAAATTCCAGTTTCTTCACTAGTAATTAAGCAACCTGCCTTAAGATTTATGTCTGTGGCTCCTCTCCTGTAAAAACTCACCTACCTTAGGAGGCTGTTAAAAGGATTCAATGAGATATTAAATATGTACAACTTAATTCATAGCACTTTTCCCCAACCATTTCAAATTACTTATCTACATATCCATCCATCCATCCATCCATCCATCTATCCAGAGAACCTCAATAATTGGCCAATAATAATCCGCAAGTGAAAGGAGCTTTACAACACACGCAGAAATTTTGTTACTATGTCACATGAAATAACACAAAATATTTATTTTACATATAGATGATGAAGTAAGGTTAAAAAAAATCGGCCAATAATAACTAGCAAGTAGTAGTTGGTAATTCATTTGGTGAGGGCGACTTAAAAATGTATGGAGTATTACTTTTTTTTGTTGCAAGTCTATCAGAAATGACTAACGGTGTAGCATTGCATTCCTCCCTGCTTTTGGTTCTCAAACTATATATCTTAGTAAATGGAATTTGCATACAAAGCAAGCCTGGCTAATCAGTGCATCATAGCTACTTTGGCAAAGGAAGAAATTCACCGTTTCCCAAGCTTTCCATCAGATGGGTGACTTCACAGCCACTGGAAGAAATGTTTCTCATCTTCGAGTAGATGGAAACTCCAACACTGTGCAGATGCTAAATCCACTTGTCACACCCCCTCTTCTCTACTTCTAAGGTTGCCCTCTAAACTCTTTTATCTGAGGGTGGACACACACACACACACACACGTTTGGCTAAAGGTCAATTCACACAGTGGCAGTGACTTTCATTTTCCTTTCCAGCTTTCTCAGTTCTGAGTCCAGCTAAGCAGGAGGCAGAGAGCTCGTCCTCCTCTGCATGGGCTCTTTTTCTTATTCGAGAAATAAGAAAGGTTAGGGTTAGCGTTAGAGTGGGTCCTGGGAGGAGTAGGGCAGTGGCGTGCTACTAGGATATCCACAAGCGGGATGAATTTGGACCAGCTTTATCCCTCACTGTGATCCTTCACTTCGCCTTCTGTTTTTCTGTCTCCCAGTCGGTTTACTCCCTGGCAAAGTTCTTTCACAATTAAGTGCCTACAGGACAGCCCCACCAATCCAAACCTGCAAGCAACTCCAGACCTCCGGGGCACCCTGGCGCGGCTCGGGCCAGCCCACACCCACGCGGAATCATTCCATTCATCTGCGCCCAATCAGCGCTCAACACGCTCCCGCGCCAGCCCGTACGAGCGAGCGCACGTTTTCCGGCCACCTCCTCCCAGCCCCCGGGAGCGCCCGGGTCCGGGCCAGCGGGCGGGACTGGGGGCTCGGCCCGCCTTACCCTGAGGTGCTGGGTGCCTTCCAGTTGGCTGCGACCAGCGGGGACTTGTCCGTTGGCTGCTGTCGCCTGCGCCTGGGCGGGCCGGGAGGCTGATCGGTGCTGCTGAGAGCGGTGTGAGGTGCTGGGTGGCGCGCGGTGGCTGCTTCCACGTCCTTGCTTCACCTCAGGTAGCCGTGGGGAGAGGCACCGAGCCGCGGCGGGAGTGGGGCGGCCCGGGGGGAGGGCGACTGTGGCGCTCGGGGCGCCCTGCCAGGTGCGTCTTCTGGACCTGCTCCAGGCCGTGGGACAAGGGAGTCCGCGGGGGACGTTGGGGATGGCGGGCCCTGGCGTCCGGGCGGGAGTGGACCTCACAGATGAGAAAGGAAACCGAGCCCCACGGAGGGGACGGGGCGAGCAGGAAGGATCCCAGGGCTTACAGCTCGCCCGTGCACGCCGCCCACCTGTTTAAGTACTTGGACGCCATTAGGCCTCAGTGTCCTCAGCTGTCAAATGGGAGAGGGGCGGCGGTAATCCCGCCTGATTTGGCGCAGTCCTGTTCGCAGGAGAGCACCGCGCTTCCTGGTTCTTAGGTGCACAGACGGCGCAGGGGCAGCGGCGTCCCACCAGGCTTCGCGGAGGTGATGCTGATGACTAGAGACAAAGTTTTCCCCAGGCTTACTGTCTTCCAAGGTCCCTGCTAAATGTATTAACTCATAATTTCTCACCAAATTAGTGTCACTGTTTTCCCTGATTCACACACAGGAAAAATTGCCTTAGATTTTTGGGTTCAGCAGCCAGGACAAAATTTGACAAATTCATGGTGGGCCCAGGTTTTTTCTGTGAAGTCTCTTCCAGCCTGTGATCAGCTTCCACAGTTTTACAAGACAGCTTTAGGCTGTGAAGTCAGACCCCCTGGGTTGGAATTCTGGCCCCATCATTTATGAGCCGTGTGATTTTAGACAAGTGACTCAACCTCTCTGTTGCAATTTTCGCTTTCTCTAAAACAGGGACAATGATAGATGGACTCTTACTGTTGTATTAAATGAAATAATGCAATGCAGTCCTTCTGTAAAACAGCCAGAAGGACTGACCACATAGTAAGTGATCAATAGCTGTTAGCTATTGTTATTTTTTAAAATCAAGTACAGAGCATTAGGTTTTTTTTTAAATCAAGTATTAGAACATTAGGGGTTTGAACAGGAAGTTGGATCATACATATTGTAGAAATACATTTCTATGTTGCATTTCTTTAAATAATGAACGCCTGCCAGAGCCAGTCTGAAAAAATAGAAGCTGCTGTACTTGTCTGAGTTGGAAAACTTTATAGTTCAACATTTATTGGAAATCCAGCTTATGCTGAAATTTTTATGTTAGTTAGAAAATATAATTTAATTTACAAAGCTGTGGTTTGTACGACATTGGGGAAAGTCCATGGCATGTTAAACTGAAGCTGTTCACGAAAGTGAAAACCATGTTATTCAAGTAATGCAAGGTTAGCCAATTCTGATACCTGCGCTCCTTTAGTCATACTACAAAAGTACGAACAGATTTTTATGGCATTTATTTTCTATTAGAGGTTAAATGTTTTATTATGTTCCACATTTAAAATAGAACCTCTGCCATCTCACTGTGACAGATAGTTGAGAATAAATGGAGTTGGATTGATCAAGACTATGGTGCTGATAGATGGCCTCAAGAAAATTTAACTTAAGAAAGCTGCCCTCCCTGTGACGGCAGCCACTATCACCACTAGTGATCGCTTCAAAAACATGGACATAGAAAATATGAACAAAAAGGTTAGTTTAAGGAAAAAACGTGGAGGTGGACATTACTCAGTATTTGGCCATGGGACTGACAAGAATATAAAATCTTTTATAGGAAGCTATTACATTCTGATAAAGTTAAGGGATGCCTGTTCTCTCTGACATGTAAATGTTAGAGTTGGATAATTTCCTGATATAAGGTGAAGATAAGGGAATAAAAGACTGAAATTAGTAAAAGGAAGTTCAGAATGGTATTTAAAACATTTTCCTGACATTCTCCACAGTTGGAGATTGCAGGAGGTCAAATTGCGTGTTTTCCTTTCAATAAGGAGAAAGAGCCAAGATCTTGAAAACCCAATATTCTCCCCCTAACTTGTTGGTTCTAGAATAGATTCATATTTTGAGAGATGCTCAATTATGCCTGTTTACACAGAGGTAGCAGTTTTGATGGCAACCGTTATTTCATTATGAACTTAATCTTGGTGAAAATAATCCACTTAAGACTTAACTGCCTGGTTAAATTTGTTGCTAGACGTATTTAATCAGAGAGAGCATTCTGATTTTGTACTTCTTTCTCTTCCTTTCCTACCTCCCACTGCACCATGCTTGAAAAAAGTATTAGTAGAATTTTTTAATATTTTAGTTTTTGTTGCTATTTCTGTGAAAGCTTAAGGGTAGAATAAGTCAACCTTGAGAATAAAAACGGGATTCCATCTGTTTCTGTAGTTCTAGGACCTGGTATATGATAGATGTTTGATAAATATTTAATAGTAGGCTGGGCGCGGTGGCTCGTGCCTGTAATCCCAGCACTTTGGGAGGCCGAGGCGGGTGGATCACGAGGTCAAGAGATAGAGACCATCCTGGTCACATGGTGAAACCCCGTCTCTACTAAAAATACAAACAATTAGCTGGGCATGGTGGCACGTGCCTGTAATGCCAGCTACTCAGGAGGCTGAGGCAGGAGAATTGCCTGAACCCAGGAGGCGGAGGTTGCGGTGAGCCGAGATCGTGCCATTGCACTCCAGCCTGGGTAGTAACAAGATCGAAATTCTGTCTCAAAAAAAAAAAAAAAAAATTTAATAGTAGACCTCCTTGAAAAATTCTGTTTCATTGTGGTAATGGAAGTTTTAGTTTTTCAGAAGCTCTAGTGTAAGTGGGCATACTCAGATAATCTTGAGGTGTTCCATAAGTGAGAATAGTAGCTTATTGTCTATTCATTTTTCCATTTTTTATTCACTGTTTTCATACTGAATGCTAGACACAAGGAGAATAACATTGAGGAAGCCACATTTCCTGCCTCCCAAAGATTTTACAGGTAAATGGGAGAAGATAGCAAGTCAATAATTACAGTACAGAGTTGCTGTCAGAAAATATTGGAGGGAGAACTAACCCAGGTTCAGGGCAGTCCAAGAAAGATAAGTGGAAATTAGGTAATGAAAATACGCCACATCATAAAAGGGCTTGTAAGCTGTAGCAAGGAGCTTGAACTTTATGCTGATCCATATAAATGAATGATTACTGAGTACCTTAAAGTTGCACATTCTCATCCTTTCTAGGTAGCTCTTTAGTTAACTTTCGGTGCCCTGGATTTGCCCAGTGATAATGTTTGCTTCTGATCATAATAGCTTTCCATTTCATCTTTGATTTCTATCCAAAAGTTTTGAATAAATATTCTTATTTACCAACCACGGGAACCTAATAGGTGACCTTTGGGTTTATAGAATATGTTTAATCATAGTGATCCCAGTAATAGATTAAAAAAATCTCTTTTATAAGCCTTCTGCAAGAACTTGTGCTTGTTTATGGCATACTCTTGAATAAAGTCATTATACTGGCTATTAAATTGACAGTCTCTTGAATGAAATTGGGTATATTCTTGACTGAGAGACTTTTTGAATGAGCTCATCAACTTTTCATCCATGGATTGGATCTATACTTATTATACATTTTGCATCACTTATATAGATCCTAAAAGGTATATTGAATTTTCTGTGTATACTTTCCCATGTTTCTACATAATTTTAGTATTTATGAATTTTAATGGCTTATATGCTCTAATTAGTGGTATTTAAATATTGGCTACAACCTTAATTTATTTCTGTCACTTTAGTTTTTTTTAGATCAGTTATTTCTGAACCCTGGCTAGACAACAGAATAATTAGTGAGACTATTTTAAAGGACCTACATTTCTGAGACCCATTCCAGTACAAAGCCACTGAATCACACTATTTGGCACTGGACCCTAAAATCTAACATCTAAAAACAGCAACAATTACTACAAAGCATAAAAAGGTGACTCTGATGTGTGCATCTGTAAGGTTGCCATTGTCAACCTTACTCCCATAGAGGCTGAGGCTTGAGATTTCATTTAAATGTTTTCTTGACCTCCTTTCCAGCAATTTTATGGTTCTGTAATGGTCAACTTTACCCCCAAAACTTTTTTTCCTTTAGCCTTTTACTGAAGAGTGGCAGGAGTAGAGATAGAATAGAGGAAAGTGGGAATTATGTGAAGAAATTGGTGCTCTGGCACCAAAAGAAGACAAAGACCAAGTAATTTTTGTTTTGAAGCAATAACATCAACAAAATAAGGGCCTACTATATGCCCACAGTGTTCTAGATGGTGGAGATATAGTGGTGAGTAAAACAAGGACTTCTATGCTATTCGTTAGGAATGAGGCGGGCTAAGAGTAGAATCGAACACTTATGAATAAACAAGTTATTATATTGTCTGAGAATGATAAACACTATGAAGAAAAGATGTAACAGTAACTTGCAGAAGGCTTCATGAAGGATAGGAGATTTAAACTGAAATTGGCATTACGTTGTTATTAGTGATGCTAAGATTTGGGATCTAGCCATTTAGGCAGAGAAATATCAAGTACAGAGACCCTAAGTCAGTAATAAGCTAGGTCTGTGTGAGGGACAGAAAGAAAATCAGTGGGAGTAGACTACTAGACAATGAGGTATGATGGTGTTGAAAGGAACCTGTTCCTGTTAGGGGTAATCCCAAGCTTTTTGACTTGGAAATTTGGGCTCAATTGCCATTTTAATAGGAAATTGTTAAAATGAGGAATACTGTGGCAAACTGAGGGAGTCAAGAGATTCCCTTTAGTCTTGAAGCTTTCAGTAGGCTTCTGGATCTGGGACTTTTGAGCCCATTGGAACAGTGGGGGCTGGAGATAAACGTTTGAGAGTTAACAACATATATACAAGAGAGATGCAATCCCTTCCCCCTCCTCCTGCCTGCCGTTTTACTCTTTTATATGAATAATTTTAATAACTGTAAAAAAAATATGTGATTCTCACCTCTGGCTATGGGTCGTTCATCTTGGGTGCAATTAGAAAAAAACGATCCCCAGGTTCTACTCTCAGAAATTATGATTAGATGATTTGGGGTGAGGGTAGCTATCTTTTATAGCTCTGGTAGGTTATTACTGTATATTGTAAAGCCAGATTTGAGACCCACTGGTCTATTGCCTCAAATTGTGGTATTTGCTGATACTAATCTTGGTCTCCATAACAGAGAGAAGAAATGGAAGGACTTTCTGATGTTGCTTCTCTTGCAACTAAACTTAAAAACACTCTCATCCAGTACCACAGCATTGAAGAAGATAAGTGGCGAGTTGCTAAGAAAACGGTAAATTAGTTCAGTTACTTCTGTTTAGGGTATATCTTCTATCCAATGAATTAGTTGATGACTTTTAAAATTATATGGAACAATATGGACAAAGACCATACTTTGGATGGATATGCAAGATAAATAACTGAGCTAATAAAGTTGATGGTCTAATATCACACAGAGGAAGAAATACATCAGTAGTAATCCTATACTGCCTTTGTTAGCTCTTTGGATTTTAGACAAGAGGATAGGCTCGTGAAATCTAGAGGCTAAAGAGTACCCTCTTAAGTCAGCAAAGAAATGTATCATTATCAATGCAAGAAAGTGTAGTATTCGACAGTTTAGAATAGTTTCAGATATATCAAAAAGCCTATGAAGGTAGCTAGTCAGTATTCCTTTTTACTAATATGACTTGCCCAAACTATTACATGGGTGAGTTGAGTGTTGCTACAACCAATTCTAGAACCCGGGACACTTCTATTTAAGTGCTGTAGCTATTCTGATATTCAGAATTACTTGGGAGATGATGAGGACAAACTGTAGGGACTAATTCACAGTAAAACTATCATAATAAATGTTCATTGTTTAATTGTTTGAAAGTTATGAACAATTTTAGAATGAAATATTTAGTGTTTCTAGTGTCATAGTCTGAATGCATCGGTAGTGGTAAATAGATAAGACTGGACTAAGATAGTGCCATCATTGACTCTTACAGTATTTGGATCTCATTAAATGCTACTGAAAATATTCTTTGGAAGTCTGTAATTTACAATGTGAAGAACTTTGGGATACAGAAGAAACTCAAATACAAATCCTTTTATGATGTAGATGACTTTTATGTATTCTGAAAATGTACTGAAGTTTTATTTTAATGCAAAGACAAATTCCCTAGACTTATAAAATTGTCAGTTTTGTGTCTAGGGTTCCACCTATGTAATTATTACCATATAATGCTTTTATTTTTCTAGAAAGATGTAACTGTTTGGAGAAAACCCTCAGAAGAATTTAATGGATATCTGTAAGTACATCTTTATAGATTTACATAGCTCTTAAGACTTTCTGAAACTTATATGCATTGTCACTAAGTAGTTATTGCTAGTAGGATTTAGCTTTTTAAGACTTTTTTTAACTTTTTTTTTTTTTTTGAGACGGAGTCTCACTTTGTCACTGAGGTTTGGAGTGCAGTGGCACCATCTCAACTCATTGCAACCTCTGCTGCCTGGGTATAAGCAATTCTCCTGCCTCAGCCTCCTGAGTAGCTGGGATTACAGGTGCCTGCTACCACACTGGCTAATTTTTCTGTAGTTTTTAGTAGAGACAGTGTTTCATTATCTTGGCCAGGCTGGTTTTGAACTCCTGACTTAGTGATCAACCTGCCTAGGCCTCTGATAGTGCTAGGATTACAGGCGTGAGCCACCACGCCAGGCGATTTTTTTTAAACTTTCTGGAAAGCATATTGGCCTTATGAATTCAGAGCCTTAAAAATGCCCGTGTCCTTTGTGGACTGAGTTGGTGGTGAGGAGGTCATAAATAATGATATAAAATGGCTGATAAAATCTGAATTTCTTAGCATTGTGTACATGACTCTTCTAATATTCTACATTTACTCAGTGCTATAGAACATTTTATCTCAGGAACTTATGTTGAAGAATTTATCAGAAAAATAACAGCGATTTAAGTACTTGCTCTTCTATCACAGCATTATTTATAATATTAAAAATTATAAACCTGAATAATCCATAGTAGATGATTCAGTATGAAATATCTGTGATAGAACATGATATAGGCTTTAAAAAACACATTTTTGAAGATTATTTAATAACATAAGAAAATAATATATTGTTTTTTAAAGCTTGTAGAGACAGCTGCCTTGCATACTTGGAGTAGAATGTTCACATCCTTAACACTCAGCCATTTTAAAAAATAAAACTGCTGGACCCTGTTAGTATACATAGAATCTTCTGAAGTGTAATGCCAAAGATAACATTCCCAGAAAGTTGATTGGTGTAATATTTATGATAAGGATGGGGAAATTGGAGGTGGATTAAGCATTGTAAGCAAATATGGAAGTTAATTCTTTAAATCAGTAATTCCCAGTGAGGGCTGAAAGTGTAAACACTGCCAAGGGAGCTTTATGCTTGGAGATCTGAAAAGACTTCATAAAGAGCTAATATTTGAGCTAAGACTTAAGAATGAGTATTTCTTAAGGAATGAAAGGCATCATGTCCTAGGCAGAAGGAATTGCATATCTACCACATAAAAGCATAGGAGAAAAACTGGTGGGTTTTTTTTTGTTTTTTTTTGTTTTTTTTTGTTTTTTTCAGATTCTTAGAGGGATATGTGATCAAAAGAGTAGGAACTGATGAGTTGGACACAAAGTACTCTAAATGAGGCAGTAGCACAGAAGTCAAAAAGGGCAAATGAATGTGAAAGATTTAATGATAGTGATGGTGGTGGTAATGATAACCATTAGAGCCAAATATTATTCTAAGTACTTTATATTTAGGAAATACTCCTGATAAAAAATGTGGTGACTGATTAGTTCTGACTATGGAAATGGGGTTAAGAGAAAAAGAAGAGTCATAGTTGAATCTGAGGAATTCTAATTTGACTAGATTTATTTGTGTTACATCCACCTACCTCCTACCCCAAGTTAAAGAATACAGAATGGGAGAGCAGATTTACGATGGGGGAGATAATATAAGTTTGGCTTGAGATATTATAAAATGATTAAATAGCTTCAGATGCTTTTTTAAATAAAAAGGTACTGGTAGAGCTGAAGCTAATTTCTTATTTCATCTCCTTTCTTTCAACCCTAGAGGTAACTACTGTCCTGAAGTTATGTGTATTGTTCCTTTGTCATACTTTGGCCACATCATTATATATCCATAAACAATAAAAAGCATTATTTGGTGTGTTTTTTATGTTTATGTGTATGTGTTTGTATGTGTATATTTTGTTGAGTAATTTGCGTTTATTTTTTCATTAAATATTATGTTCTCAGGATTTAGCCATGTTGTTATACGTAAATCCATTATTTTTCCTTTGTTAATATACCACAGTGTTTTTATCTATGTTTGCAGATTCGCCTATTGATAGATTTTTAGGCTGTTGTCAGTTGTTTTCTATAAAGTACAATGCTATAGTAAACCTTTTGGGATATACCTCTTTGTGCACACATGTGTAATTTTCTTTGGGTCATAGGGATGTATATCTTCCATTCCTAAGACATTACCAACTTGCTCTCTAAAGTAGCAGTTTAAGTTTACTATTTACTACTTACAAGTTTTTAATCTCTGTCAGTCTGAAGGGTATTAATGAGATTGTTCTTGTTAGTATCTACTTGATTACTAGTGAAGTTGAACATCTTTTATATATTTATTGATATCTCAGGTCAATCTTACTATGTCCTTTGCCCATCTTTTCTATGGATTTTCTTTTTCTAATTGGTTTATAGAACCAATGTATCCTCTATAATAATTATTTGTTCATATGTGTAGTACTACCTTTTCCCAATCTGTGGCTAGTTTTAAAAAATGACTTATTTTTTCTTGTGTGGTATGCATGTTATTTTTTAATTGATCTTTTGTATTATTTGTGTTTTTCTGTGTTTTACATATTCAAGAAATCCCTGTGTAGTCTGAGGTCACAAAAATGGTATCTTGTATATTTTTCTCAAAATTTTAAAGTTTTTCATTTTACATGTTTTACATAGACATTTAATTTATCTGGAATTAATTACTATGAGGGGTGGAAATAGGAACCTAAGTTTTATTTTCTCCGTAAGGATAACTATTGAATCTAGGCACACCATTTATGGAATTATACATTTTTCCCCACTGATAAGTAATGCTGCCTTTGAAATATGTCAAGTGCTGACATATTTATGAGTCAGTTCCTTGGTGTTCTGTTCTATTGCCCTATTTCTCTGTTCCTAATAAAAAGTTTTTAAAAGTCGAGGTAAAAATATTCATGTGCTAATATGTCAGAGGATAACTGAGAAAAGAATATAAATAAATGGAAACCTTACGGCATTTTATAGACTGTTTTTGGCTATTCTATAACATGAAGGGACTTAATGTTCGTTATGACACATAGTATAGCCTTCCATTCTCTTATTAGATTTGAGGCTAAATGATACATGCTGATAAAATAATTGGTAGAACATAATTTATCAGGAAAGTTACTGGAATTTATTCCCTTTAGAAAAAAAACCCTCCATTAATTTTTATTTTTATTTATTTATTTATTTATTGAGATGGAATCTCACTCTGTCGCCTGTTGGCTCACTGCAACCTCCACCTCTGGGTTTCAAGCGATTCTCTTGCCTCAGCCTCGCAAGTAGCTGGGACTACAGATGCATGCCACCGTGCCTGGCTAAGTTTTATTATTTTACTAGAGGCAGGGTTTCACCATGTTGGCCAGCCTGATCTCAAACTCCTGACCTCAAGTGATCTACCAGCTGCAGCCTCTCAGAGTGCTGGGATTACAGACGTGAGCCACTGTGCCCGGCCTAAGTTTTATTCTTACTTTCAAGGTTACCTATATACTATAAGGGTATGCTGAAATTTTTAATTGTAACAGCAGTTGACTTTTTTTTCCTCCAGCTACAAAGCCCAAGGTGTTATAGAAGACCTTGTCAATAGTATAATAGACCATATACGCCCAGGGCCTTGTCGTTTGGATTGGGACAGCTTGATGACTTCATTGGATATTTTGGAGAACTTTGAAGAGGTATCTGTTTATAGAAACATTGCTTTAGACTGTGTGTATGTGCATGAGAGACTGCATGAGTGAGCCAGAGTATATGAGTTTGGGCATTTGTACATACTTATATTCATTATATTCATTGATTTGAGTATAGTAGTCATGACAAAGATATCACATGGGAGTCCCATGCCGCCTCTTAAAAAGTTTGCATTTTCTCATGCTAATTAATGAGCGTTAGACTGAGTTTTCCACAGTAGCTATATCCTTGCTGCTTAAAAAAGATAATCAGCACCTTTAATTGTGAAACTCTAGTTAAGATTCTGAAATCCAAAATTCTGAAAAGACCACCGTCATATTTAGGTTTCTAGGTGAATGTGTGCGGCTTTTCTATAATACTAAGCCAACATCAAAGACCAGATAAAAATGCTACCTTAAATATTCTAAAATTATGTAGCCAAAATAGCAAGCTCTGTTTCTATTTTTATTAATTCCTTGCTTAATGTTTGATTTTTTAAAATTAAAATGTTTGATGTTGTAGTCAAAGTATTTGTGGATTTGAACTTGAACACTAAAGCAGTCTATATCCCCTAATTCCGTGTGGGTTGTTATATAAAATAAAAGGTGGCTGTATTTAATTAGAAATTTGGATACTGGATAACTTGTACTTCTGTATTTTGATTATATATCTTCTACATGGCCATCCAATAGCAGTGAGATTTAGCATAGAGATCTAGACCTGTCAGTATCAGTGTAAGAATTATTATAATTATGAAACATTTTAAATAAATGTTAGTTTCTTTCCAGAGATATATGAAGGTATGTGTGTTTCCTATAGTAGTAATACTTGTCTTACCTCTTGTTTTTCAGAATTGCTGTGTGATGCGTTACACTACTGCTGGTCAGCTTTGGAATATAATTTCCCCAAGAGAATTTGTTGATTTCTCCTACACTGTGGGCTATAAAGAAGGGCTTTTATCTTGTGGTAATAATCTCAAAATGTTATGCTTTTTTTTCAGTATGGTTTAAATATTTGTGTTTTCTAGGCTGGATGTTTCTTTCTTTGTGAAATATATTTTCAACTCCGACTCTGCAATCACTAAAATTTTTTTATAAATACTAAACTCTAGGGAGTAAAATAACAATATCAGAAGGGTTTTGAAACCTTTCTGATACGTTTTTGTTCCCAGTTACATAGTATCCTCTAGGTCAGAGGTGGCAAATGTGGATCACATGACTGCCTCTAAGAAAGCGTTCTTGTAAATAGATTTTCTTCTAAGCCACTCTTAGAAAACAATTTCTGGTCATATACACAGAAAAACTAGATTTGGTATGTGTTAGAATATTCTTCCTTCCTTGAGCTTTGTTGTATTTTTCTTTTCAAGATTAAAAATACTGCCATTGGAAGGCTCCTGTTTTCTAATATGTACCTATAGGTAAATTAATATTATTTTGAATATAATGTATACATGAGTTAGCAGTTGTAAGTAAACATCTACTTGATTATTCTCAACTTGCAAGTACCAAAGTATAATATAGTAGTCACTGTGGGGAATAGTTAGGAGGTACCATGGATTTGATTATTGGCACCTCGAGGCCTAGGTGCTACAACCAAGATTTGTAGCTTCCAAGGAGTTACTAAGATGACATGATGTCATGTATTCTGAAGGGATTAAAGTTTCCCCATTACCTGTCTGCCAACCTCTTGTCAGAATCCTCCTTGGTAAGTCTCTTTTTCATTCTGCCATGGTCACTCTTGGGGTTTAATTTTCATCTATATGCATAAGAATAAATATTTAAAAAAGAATTCTGGTAATGTTTTTAAATGAGAGTTTTATATAAATGTAGTTGTTTCTATTAATAATAGTGTTATTGTTAAAATTGCCTTGTAGGAATAAGTCTTGACTGGGATGAAAAGAGACCAGAATTTGTTCGAGGATATAACCATCCCTGCGGTTGGTTTTGTGTTCCACTTAAGGACAATCCAAACCAGAGTCTTTTGACAGGATATATTCAGACAGATCTGCGTGGGATGATTCCTCAGTCAGCAGTAGATACAGCCATGGCAAGCACTTTAACCAACTTCTATGGTGATTTACGAAAAGCTTTATTATAGGCAAAATGCGTTCAAACTTGTAGGACTATGGATCAACTCTGTCTCTCAGCCACATGGCCTGTAAAAATCATTGATTCCACTCTTCTGCATAGCCTGTAGAAAAATTTGGTTTAGTAGTACATTCGGTTTTATTCCTAAAATAAATAGCTATCTAAGAGAGGGCATTTTCATTTTCTTTCTTTTTTAAAAAAATTTTGAGACAGAATCTCACTCTGTTGCCCATGCTGGAGGGCAGTGGTGTGATCACAGCTCACTGCAGCTTTGATCTGACTGTTCAAGGGGTTAGTCTACCTCACCCTTCTGAATAGCTTGGACTACAGGTACACACCACCATGCATGGCTATTCCTTTTTTAAATTTTTTGTAGAGATGTGGTCTCACTATGTTGCCCAGGCTGGTCTTGAACTCCTGACCTCAAGCGATTCCCCACCTCAGCCCCCCAAAATGTTGGGATTATGGGCATAAGCCCCCATTCCTGGCCCCAATTTAAAATGTGGAATTCAGTTGCTATCCAAATTTTGAGTCTCTTAAAAGTGTCAGTCTGTAACTGGAACAAATACATTTCTTAGATTTATCCAGTGCCTAGATATCATTTTATAATAATTAGAATGGAGTATTGTGGGTCCCCTAATTAATTTTGTGGCTGCCTTAAATGAGATTTTCTAAATGATTTTCACATTCTAAATGACTTTGGGTTTTGAACTATCCATCTAGTTTACTTCTAAAATGAGAACTTAAGGCATTTCAGCGTGTGCAGGCAAATCTTTGTATATATTTATCTGTTTGTGTACGTGCACACATCTTGAAATCCATTTCAATGTTTAATGTTAGTCGTTTATGTGTTAGCATTTCTGTGTCTACTGTTTTGTTGTTGCTAATATGGGTAAAATGAGCCCTGAAATACATGCTAAACAGGCCACAGAATGCACAAAAGTATATAGTGTTTCAAGTGCATGATGGTTTGATCTGTGTTTTACTTTATTGAGTTTTCCTGGGTGTAAAGAAAGAATAAATCAGAGTTCTTCATACCCATTTTGTCAAAGTGGAAGCTGTTTTTCACTTTTGTTTTTATTTAGTTTTTGCTACTGGAGATGATAGATTTCAAAAAACAAAAGGTGGATGCACAAAGGATTCCGTATTCTTAATGGCTTATTAATTACCAGAATCCTTTTCTAAATTGAATGTACTTTTGAATTACTAGATTTCTGTTTCTTTTATTCGTTCTGCAATAGTGAAAGAAAACTCAGTAGTTTAGTTTCAGTTTCCCATGGTAATGGGTAAATGTTAGTTTTGACTTCTATTTTGTTCACTTATTTATATTAGTATAGAGTAGTAAGTCTCATATTCTACTATTCTATCTAGGATGGTGAAATTCCAAAGGTGCCTAACTTGGGTAAGGGATTTGTGACAAGATTGTATACATTACTATAAGGGCTATTATTTCCTAATGTGGAGACCCCTAAAAGCAAATAAACTGCCCACTATCTCTGCTTTAGTGCCCTCTCTGTCCTTATCAACATATACTTCCAATGAGTAATTACATAATTTACTATTAAACATGGATCCACTCCAGGTAAAATTACCCTCATGGAAAAATTTTCATTGTGAAGATGATGAATTTAAAAATGATGTTTGAATCACCTTAAAAATATGTGCAGCTTCTAGATGGGCTCTTAAATCTGCTGGGCTCTAGCTGTGTACTTTAGAAAAATAAAAACAGCTTTATTGATATATAATTTACATACTATATAATTTACCCATTTTTAAGTGTCTAATTCAGTGAGTTTTTAAATACATATGTAGAATTGTGCAGCCATCAACACAATCTGGATTTAGAACTTTTCCATCATTCCGAAAGATTCCTTTTGTCTTTTTTGCAGACTCATATCTAACACAAATCTAAAGTTTCTCACTGTTGCCAGGATAATTACAACAGGTTTTGTTTGGTTTTGTTTTGAAGATTGGAGGTGCTTATAATTCTAAGCTCAGGAATCTTGTGATTATGTATTAAATATGTTATCTTATACCATAATGATATAAATGCTTAATGATGTGGGTTGAGATGGATATTAACATAAATAATTGAGTCTGCTGCTTCTATAGCAATGCTGTAGGGTAGAAAAATAATGTAAGTGATATATGTAATTTAAAAAATTCTAGAAGAAACAGCTGAAGTTAATTTTAATATTTTATTTAACTTAATACATTCAAAATGTTATAATTTTAACATGTAATTGATATAAAGATTTATTTTGATAGTTTGTATTGTTTCTTGTACTAATTCTTTGAAATCTGGTATGCATTTTACTAATTTGGGCAAGCCACATTTTAAGTGCCCTTAGCCACATGAGGCCAGTGGATACTGTATTGAATAGCACAGTCCTATATTTATTAATTTGTCTTGTCATAAGATGAAATAGACAATAATATGAAATAATATCTTAAATGGAAATCTTTTCTAGTCTCTAGATTCTTTGCTTGCTAAATAGGACATCTAAACTTTAGCTATAAATCAGTTAGTAGTTGCCAGTGAAATAAAATTGCCAAAAAATATTTTCCTTCAAAGATAAGTAACTTTTGATATGGCAGTTGATGAAATGAAAGAATATAATCTGCTTTGTTGTTAGATGGTTATTTTCTGTAGCTTATAGGTAGTATATATTAGAAACTTGTGTATGTTGGAAATATTTGGCATAATACTGTTTTCAGTACATAGTAGCTATTTTTTAAGGAAATTAGTTCCATACAAGAAAAAACTTATAATAAAAGTGATACTTTTGCATGACATATTAGTTTGTGTTAATGACTCTTAGTTAAACCTTAAAGTTTAAAACAATATTCAGAAAAAATGAGAATCTAGCATTCTGTAGTTAACTAATCTATAATATAAATTGCTAAAGTACTAGTGGACTTGTAAATGTTAAAATTTTCTTCATTTCAGTGTTTCTTGAGGTTGGATATATTTGAAATTGTAGATTTCTATGTGCAAAATATCTCCTAGTTAATAGAATTTTTTTATTCCCCTCCCTTCAGCCTCTTCCTTTTCTAACTGAAGGGCATTTTATCAACAGTAGTGTTGAATTCAATTTATTAATTGAATTCAAGCTAAACAACAATGTAATTGAGGTTGTATCTGGAGAAGATAGGAAAACATTGCACAATTTAAGCCCCTAATTGTCTATTGAGCTTTTATGTCTGAGTAATTGCCTGTAATACAGATAAAAGCTTTTTTACCTCTTTGCTCAAGAGTGTACTACCATCTTTCGAATCAGGTGTTTAAATCCAGTTTCTTTTAAGTAAATGGGGCTGTAGCGATCCCACCCTATACAGAAATCAGCAGAACCAGAGAAGCTAAGGGGCTTGATCAGGTTTCCCTTAGAACCTGTGTTGTATCATTACCTGCCTGGTGTGTCTTCCATGTCTTTCTTATTCAACTTCTAGAAGTAGAGAAGGTTAGGACTTCAGTGTTGAAGAAACGTCAGAATAATTTCAAAAAACAGGAAGTTGGAATTATAATTTTTAAATTATTGTATTGTTTTTACAGAGTTTACATATATAAATATTAAAATTTATCTCTTGCAGTTCAATAAAAGCTATAATATAGATTTTATTTTTAAGAAATTTATATAATTATTTTATGAACCAATATGTAAAACTAGAATATTTATTTATGAAACTAATAAAGAATATGTATTAGTATCAATAAAATATGAATTTTTAAATTGCTGTGAAATAAAATAAAAATTTCTAGACACTCTTAAAATTGGTCATTGATATTATGTTTGTAATTTAACATTAAGTACTATTTAGTTTCATATGCCTGAACTTAAAGTATGTAATTTAACTTTCTGAATTCTTACCAAAAAAAAATATAAACCTGGAAAATAAAGTTAAAAACACATATGCTGATCTCTCCTGCAGTGTCTCATATAATATTAGCTATTGTACAATACTGCTGAATCTTTACTTGCTATTATATATTCAGAACAGATGATGACTATATTCTGCCTTTGTAAATTATGAACAGGATTTATTGTACACATGTTCAAATAATTGTGTTACTTTGATTAGGAATTACGATATTTTGTTTGGAATTGAAAAAACTAAAAGTGATTACAAGGTCTCTGATCTATGTTATCAGAAAGCAGTTAGGGATGCTGTGGGAAATATAGAAAATATGACTATGGAGCAGGAAGTTATTTTCCTCATTTAATAAAACATCTGGTACTATGGTTTGAATGTTTGTGTTCCTCTAAAATTCATATGTTGAAATCCTAACCTCTAAGATAATGGTTTTAAAGCTTTGAGAGTTGATTAGGTAATCCTAATCAATGTGACTAGTACCTTTATAAAAGAGGCCCAAGTGAGATGCCTCGCTCCTTCTGCCATGTGAGGACACAGCAAGAAGGCACCCTCTGTGAGGAAGCAGGCCCTCATACACACCAAGTCTGCAGGACTTTTCTTGGACTTCTGCCAGAAATGTCAGAAATAAATTGTGATAGGCCACCTAGTTTATGGTATTTTATTACAGCAGCCTGAATGGTAATGAAAGCACTGGACTATGAGCTGAGCAACCCTGGTCTATTCCTTCCTGCTGCTGTGACCTTAGGTAAGTCATTACCTCTCCTGGACATAATAGCTCTCTTTAATAAAGTGAGCTTATTGGATTAAATGATTACTAATATCTTCTTTTAATTCTAGTGATTTTACAGTTTTACTCAACAGAAAATAAATATGTGAGCGCTCAGTGTTAAAAAACATGCTATGAAACTCAAAGTATAATTTTATCTGAGAGAATGGGAAAACATTCAAGGAATGATTCAACTGTATATTTCAGGTGTAAGAAAAATGTCCATGGTGTCTCACTTGAATTGTGGTAACATTTGAAATCACAGAATGCGAAGTTTTAGTGGGTTCTTAAATGATTTATTATCATATTCTACATGCAAACTGCTTTACATTTCCCAGCAGCAAGGTATAGGCTTCTTTGGGCATGTTCTGACATGTCTGAGTGAACTTACACAAAGCAACATTGGCCCTCAGTTCAAATTTCTACAATTAGTCTTCCAACACCCATTTTTTATAGTGTCACATATTATTCAAGTTCCTGGAAAACATCCCCAACCCTCACCCCACCAAACGTACACGTGTAATCCTTGAATTGGGTTATCCAATCTGAATCCAAGAAGAAGTCACAGTGAGCTCTCATGTGGTCTGCCTCAGGCTTTAGGCAGCTGAGACAGCCCATGTCCCATCTGTAGGCAGTAGAAACTCACTGGTCAGTTACCACCAGTTACTGGTGTTACAGAATACTGTAGCTCTGCAACAGCAAATGGGCATGATTTTGATGAATTCTCTACAAACATTTTCTGTATGTACATTTATGGCCAGGCTAGACTTAATATATTTACCTAAATATATTGTAATATATCTTTGTATTAAGTAGTCAATAGCACCATGTTGTCAGGTTTTAAAAATGAAGTATTCACAGCTCTGTTTTCAGTGCTCTTCAATTAGAAGTTGGGAAGGTAGCCTATAATCTTGGTTGTGTAAACAAAGTATGTATACTTTGTCCTCCAAACCCTGCATGCTCTTGTGTTGGGCTAATGACTTGCAGCCCAAACTGTTAGATTTAGGTTTCCTGTATGCAGTGCTGTTCCACTAATCTAATCCTCTATGCTGCAACTGAGCTGCTTGTAACCCTTTAGTCCTTTGCTTTCAGCAACCCAGGAATAAAAATTTCTCCTTTAGAAAAGACTAGAAAACACATCCAGATAATGTCGGATAAGCCTGAAAAGCCCCATTAGGAAATACGAAGTTTTCCTTTCTCAGTGTCTACTAACCTATGATTTCTGTACCCTCACAGTATCTCCGCTTCTTAGCTTCTCTTCCATCACTCAAATGACAGTCAATCTTTGTCCCTATCTTCCTTCATTTTATTTGTCCTCAGGAATAATGCAGCCATTGACTAATCACAGACATCTGAAATAAAGAGTCAAGACAACTAAAAGTACACATACTTTTAGTTGATTTGAAATGTCTCCCAAAAATTTCCTGACAATGGATGTAAAAATGCTGCCTGCAATAACTGATATCAAAAGGAATTTACAAAAGAGTATGTAAAGGGACAAAAGGGAGAGATGAAAAGGGACTTGACGGGAGCAGCTGGATCTTTAGAGAAATAAGTTCTGATGGTTTTAAATTTTGTTGTGTGACACTTAGCTTCCTGCAGGTTGTCTTTTGAAATCTAAGCTTTCAGGTAGAATTCTATCAGAAATCCTGTGGGGATCACCTTTTCAGGTCAAATAACTTAAAAGATAGAATAACGATGACAGCAGTAACCTTGATTTGGTCCTCCATTGACAACACTTTAGGAAGTACGTGATTTTTTGGAGTCAGAAGTTTTTCAGAAATTGGAGTCTTACAAAACTTGAAATTATCATACTATCGTTTACTCTGTTTTGTCAGTGGAGACCTGGTCAATGCAGTTTTTTGCCTTCAGTGACTGAGGCTTTGTTTTAACCTGGTGACTCCAAAAAATATCTTCGATGTGTTTGATTATTTTTATTTGGCTTTAGAAGCACAGCAGATGAGCCAATTATGTCAGGTTAGATGCTCTGAAGAAAGGCTGCCCATGTAGCTACCCAGAATAAGAAAGGAGCAAGGAAGTCTGTCTAATTCAATTTTGCACCAGATGAGATTCTGCTGCACACTGGCAACACTTCCCTGTGTATTTCAGCCTTTCACATCTAGTATTATTGCTTCATCTCTGCCTTACATTTTTCCAGTCTACGATCAAGCCAGTTCTCAGCCAGACATGCCCCCTACTTCTTTCCTACCTGCAAAGATTCACCCATCTTTCACATACAGTCTGTGTTTCCATAAAGTTTTGCTTGATCATTCCTGGCAACAGGGAGCTTCTCCCTCTTCATTCCTAGCGTTTATCATCTGCCTAAATTTAGCATAGGTTGTATGTATACAGGCTTTATCTGTAAGGTTGGCCTTTCTCTCCCACTACAAAGCTCATTCCTGCATAGCACTGGATTTAATTCATCTTTGACTCCTCCATGGCATATAATAGTTTCTCAGTGAAACTTTACTGGGAAAATGGTTCCTGGAGTGGGCTGCTCCTAGGAAGCTTCAAAATTAGCAAATCACTTCCTTAAAGTGTGGTTAGTATGTAGGCCTGATATCCCCCAAACTATGTTGTTTAGTTTCTGGGAGAAACATTAACTATTGACTTTAGTCTACTCATTTCAAAGTATTTGTCCATCAATGGCTGTTTTCAAACTGAGCAATCAAAAAGATAGGCAGGGGGGAATGTGGAATCTTAATCTGCACTTTGTTGTGTTTCCCCTCCCTCATTCCAGTAAAGTCTCTCTGCTACACACAACCATGAGGACTGGCAGATGATTCACATCTTTTGTTCTGAGTTCTACAGCGAGCGTATCCTAGTGGCTATATTATTGATTGCTGCAATAGATTAAAGAAAACATTATTTAGAGTTATAATTTTAGGTACTCCTAATAACTTGATGTTGAGTTTTCTACTCAATATTTCATTTGTGACCTTTTGGTTACAGATGTCGAAAGTCAAACGGAAACACAAAGGTCATGAATGCTTATGTTTTTCTCAATATCTGGGTCACCAGCTTCTCTTAAGCCAGGTATTTTGGAATGAACAATTTCTCTGTGACAGAAATAGACTAAGACAAGGGCCCTTCTTGGATTTCTAAATATGTAAGCAAAGCAAAGGAAAGCATTTACTCAGGGCCGTCTCTTTTCAAAAAAATGAAATATGTAACACTCAGGAAAGTGTGGGGATTAGAAAGTGGCTTTCTTACATAAAAGAGCTGCCTGTTTGCCTATTCCCTGAGCTACTGATGAGAAAGTCATTGTCATATAATGCCACAAAATAAAGCGTGTTTCCTAAAATGATTAATGAAAATCCAATTGATAGAAATTACTCCAGAATATTATGAGAGATTTAGAACCAAAGGGATTTTCTCATTTCTTAGCTTAGTAACAGCTGCAGATTGACTTAAATGTGAGCAAATGCCAGTGAAAGATGTCATTTACATAATTTTAAATGTAAGGATCAAATTTCTAAAGCATGCTCAAAGTGCTAGAAATTTTTTTAATTCCACTCTCAACCAATTCAATTCATACTCTCAATTTCTTTGTTTCAGGAATGATGCAATTTTGAGTTTTTAGTTCTGTAGGAAAATTTTACTAAGTTGTATCTCCAGCACAATTATTGCTGTGAGAACATCTGCAACATAAAACAAAATTTTTCTAACTTCCTAAGAAGCTAATGGGAATAAGAACCTTAAGCTAAGGAGAAAAAAACCTGGAATATCGGAATCTGTATTGCTGCAGGTTGCCAAAAAGGCATTGGGGTGCCATGAAAACCCAAGGTCATTGTTTTATTGTAAGGGGCCGGATAAACATTTTAGGCTTTGCAGTCCACATGGGCTCTGTTGAAAGTACTCAACTCTGCCTTGGCAGCATAAAAGCAGTCAAAACAATACATACATAAATAAGCATGTCTGTGTTCCAACAAAAATGGGGCTTTGGTATATTTGCTCTGTGAAGCATAGGTTGCCTGAGTTCTGAAAACTGTTTGTTGGAGATTCGAGTTCAGTTCTAGGGGAATTATATGGAAATTATTCTTTAAAAAAATACGCACATGGAAGGCCCAGGTGGGTGGATCACGAGGTCAAGAGATTGAGACCATCCTGGTCAACATAGTGAAACCCCGTCTCTACTAAAAATACAAAAAATCAGCT